TGGACCAGGACGACCCGGACGCTGCTCAGTTGTTTCCTTGCCGTGTTTCCTGAACTGCACGATGATTCTGTTGACTGTCGAAAGACTATATTAATACCTGAAATTTCCACTGTTTTTCAAGAAATAAACGTCAATTTTTGTGAAAAAAAAGATTCATAGTTTTGTTATATCGAAACTGAAAAACAAAAATTATATATATATTGTTCTCAAGGTTCACTAAATGATTTTGATTTATGAATAAACTTAAATCGTTAGTGGTTAGAAACACATAAAAAATTAAATCTAACAAACAAACATTTTTATTGACATAGAAAGTGTTTGTTTTAAATATTCGCGCAAAGCTACACATCATTTGTCTCCAATTTTGAACTTGTGGACTAGAGGAAGACAACTAATCAACATACCCTCACTGCCAATTCTCGAGCTACTCCAATCGAAAAATGGAATTTGATCGTCACTTGTATAACGCATTCGCGGCTTCAAAGTGCGGAGTGCGATTTTTCGGCAATGAAACGTGTACCTCCGATTCCCAGTTCAATTGGCTAATAATTGGGCCACGCCCGCACGAAAAAGAGTGAGAGAAATTATTCTTATTTTAATATATTTTTGTCAAAATGCCATAAATGAGTCGTAGAGGTAAATCAATATGTTTTTTAAATCATTATTTCCGTGATAAATAAAGGAAAACCCAATAATTAAGCATATTTTTCTTTGAGACATTATATTTATGGAATGTTGTGATGCAAGGGCGTGTTTCGTGATTTTAACCTGCTGTATGTGTAATTCTCTAAGTCTTCTGAAATCGGTACATAATTAGCAATATATAGTTTATTTCTCCTGTACAGAACATCAGATTATTTTGCCATTCTTACCCTTGTTTGGATTACTGTAAAAAAATAAAACACTGAATATGAATCGACTCAAAAGACATAGTAAAGAGAAGAAAAGTGGCCGTGATTTCATTATCGGATCAAGTAGCCATTGTATGAGCCACTATGCCGCGGCTTAAAATATTAAAATTAGATACACTGGGAAATGGTTGGCAAATTGAAATTATTTTATGCAGGATTAGAGTAAATTAATCTATGAGACCTTGGGTGTGGTTAAGTATATCAATCGAAAAGGTTTGATCTCATGAGTCCAAAAGTGTAATTAGATCCCAAATAAGTCAAGAGATGATGGGGCTATGAGCTAAAAGTTTGAATAAAAGAAATAATAACTCAGGGTAGGGTTTACCACCTGATCCTGATGAGTAATAAAATCGAATCGGGTATACGAGCGCCCTACACTTGGTATTACTGGCCCACAAAAAAAAAAATTATAATACAGCTAAGAAAAAGGAAAAAAAAGTCTCGTAGATTAACTTACTCCAATCCTACCTAAAAGAATTTCATGTGCCGCGCCCATTGACGATTCCTTCTTGTTTATTGATGTCTCAGATACAACTTTTAAACCTCTTTTTTAACCCTTAGTTTGGTACCCAGTTTGCTATATATCCTAATTAATCGAAAGGTTAACCAAACGGAAGAACCTTATCTGTGCATGCTAGAGTTGAAAAGTTGAATCTTTTAATTGCAGTTATTATTTATGTATATTTTGCATATTCTGTGTGCTTCTTTGCTTTTACTCAAAAAATGCTAAGTTTAATACCATTACTAAACTGATTTAACTCAAAAATAAGCGGGTCGAGCTGCAGATTGAAGTTTTCAAGATTCGAGCCCGCGATGTAAAAGTGACAGTCAATCCTGTTATTGGGTTAAAAATAACCGTGTAGGCTATTTCTCAACTCGGGTGTCTCTGACTTTGCTATATTGGATTAAAAATAACCGTGTAGGCTATCACTCAACCCCTGGAGTCTCTGACCTTGCTATATTGGATTAAAATTAACCGTGTAGGCTATTTCTCAACTCGGGTGTCTCTGACTTTGCTATATTGGATTAAAAATAACCGTGTAGGCTATCACTCAACTCTGGAGTCTCTGACCTTGCTATATTGGATTAAAAGTAACCGTGTAGGCTATTACTCAACCCTGGAGTCTCTGACCTTGCTATATTGGATTGAAATTAACCGTGTAGGCTATTACTCAACTCTGGAGTCTCTGACCTTGCTATATTGGATTAAAATTAACCGTGTAGGCTATTACTCAACTCTGGAGTCTCTGACCTTGCTATATTGGATTAAAATAACCGTGTAGGCTATTACTCAGCTCTGGAGTCTCTGATCTTGATATTTAACTCACGTATCGCATAAGATGTCGATAAGGTTGAAAACAACAAATATCAAACTCCTATTATATGTTTAACACTACATTCTTTATTCAGTCCCTTAACGATTTTAAACTACACCATGTTCTCCATATCAGTTGCTGACAACGCGTTTCGTTCAATACAGAGCTCATCAAGCCGGCTGGAACAAAACAGATATAGTAGTGATCGGAACACTGTTTATATAAGGCGTTACCATGAGATTTGTTGTATTAAAAATTGTCTTTAATGAATATTATTCCGACCACTACTGAATTATTGTGTACCAGCCGACCTGATGAGCTCTGTATTGAGCGAAACGCGTCGTCGGCAATTGATATGGAGAACATAGTGATTTAAACACCATTATACACGTTTCTTGTTCGTGAAAAATCTAAGGGACTAAATAAAGAACGTAGTGTTTAAAATATAATAGGCCTAATACTGATATTTTACGACAAGTATAATTAATTATAATAAGCTTCGCCAGCTTCTAAAAGGCGTTGACCATCACAAATATCAAAGCTGCAAAATAATACACTAGTATAAGGCCATAGAGACATTTTAGAATTCCCTACCTTAAGCTTGCCTTGCTCTAGTTTAGGAAAAAACCATTATCGTTTTAACACTTTGGGCCCGGCATGGCCAGGTGTTAGGGTGCTCGACTCGCAATCTGCGGGTTCGAAACCCCGTCCCACCAAACATGCTCGCCCTTTCAGCCGTGGAGGTGTTATATTCGTTGATTAAAGAGTTACCCAATAGTTGGTGGTGATGACTAGTTGCCTTTCCTCTAGTCTTTCACTGCTAAATTATGGACGACTAACACAGATAGCCCTGGTGTAGCTTTGCGAGAATTCGTAACAAACTAAACCTATTTAACACATTATATTCCAGGCTTTCCTACCCCTCGATTGGTATGATCCAAGTGAAAGATGTAATATTTTGGATTTCATTACTTAAAAACTGGACTATCGTGAAAGTAAATGTCAACTAAATAATCATGTTTTATTCGACTTACGACAACAACTGTGATAAGAATTGTGAATCTCTATCGGTTGCATAATAACCCGTCAAACAAACCTAAAATGTTATGTGTAACAATAATAACCGGTTATTACTATAAAGCTGGAACACAAAATTAAAAGTGTACAATTAAAATATATAGATTACTTTCAAATTAAATACATGAGATGTACAAGAAAACATTTTTTCCCCATTTTCAGCTGGAAACGATTACGTTGGGACCGGGAAAACGTTGAATTTCCCACCTGGCGCAACTCTGGAGACCTTCAGAATAACCATCTTGGATGATCTGGGTCAACCAGTTTTGGAAGGACCGGAAACTTTTGAGCTGGTTCTGCGTATGCCGATGAATGCTGAGTTGGGCAAGCCTAGTCATGCTGTGGTGACCATTAACGATTCTCTTTCTGACTGTATGTGAACAGTTACTGTTATGAGAGTTTGATTTTTTTAATCTTTTTTTTTTTGCATTACTCTAGAGTTTAGTTAAACCGTGCAGTTATATTGCGTACTTTTCTTTATTACAGTCCATATGTATATTTCAACTTTCAGTACCATCCATGCAGTTCCGGGATACAGAATATACAGCTTTAGAAAATGATGGTGAAGTTACGGCGTACATTATTCGAAGCGGTGACCTAGGACAAGTGTCCACTGTCCACTGTTACACCCGCCAAGATACCGCGAAAGTCACAGAAGACTATGTAGAAAGACCGAATACTAACGAGTCTCTCGTTATTTTTGAGCCAGGTAATATGAAATTAAAAATGATCAACATAATCTTATCCTTCTTCTTCAAATCCTTTCACATCAAAAATTGAATTCATATCTTGAACTTATTTTTTTTAGTTCTGTTGGCTAAGTTATAATGTGTTTTGTGTGTGCGACAGGTGACAGGGAAAAACCATGCACAGTGATCTTGGTTAATGATAGTATTCACGAGCAAGAAGAAATATTCCGATTGAGGCTTGGATCTCCCTCAAGTGAAACGGCAGGTGGCGCTTTGGTCGGTCCCAAAAATGTGACTAAAATTACAATAAAAGATAAAGGAGACAGTAAGTTTAATTCATTTTTTTCTTTTTAAGTTGTTTGTTATTTTCAGCACCAATTTTGATGTTTTCAATTGTAAAACTTTCTACTTGTATTGAGCGACATATAATATGTTGTTCCTCAGACAAAAGATAAGCATTTTGTAAAAGCAAACCTAATTTTGAAGGTTATCCCATTTATTATTCTCGTTATAAACTTAGATCGTACGTGATGTGTAATTGTTGTTGATGAAATTATTACATCTATTGAGGATGATGTTTATTTCTGAAATTCTCCAATTAGTTTCTGAGATAAGAAAATAATTTTGCTGTAAGAGTGCTGTCATTAAGCATGGAAATTGACCCCAAAAAGAATTGCTATGAATATTAAGGCTAATTTGAAAGTAAATGTATTCATTCATAAGTTACCAATATTCATTCATTTTTAAGCAGTGGGCTAAGAATAACAGGCACCAGAGTGAGCACTGTGATATTAGGACAGTTTATTTTTAGCGATATCGTAATATCAATTTCTGAAAATTTAAATTAAATCAGTTAAGAGTTTGTGGGCCAGACAGAAGGTTAACTATCAACATTATAATTTCACTTCAGATAAACAATTAACAATATGTAATATTTGAATCAAATTACTGTAATCTGTAATCATCTGTATGAAGAAATCCATACAAATGCCTAAAACGGCAGGACTTGTTTTAAAAACCAACAGGCTTACAAAGTTGCTCAATCCTATATGTTGAGATTTGACCTTCTGGTTGACCCCCCACACTCTTCATTGATTTTATTCATATTTCATAAATTGACATATCAATTGATATATTAAAGATAAATTTGAATAAGTATGTTTATCTATTCTAATATCCTTTTTTAAAGGAAAAAACTCTCAACATCCCTTCTGCACCATTTGGCTGCATTGTATAAAGAAAAAAAGTAAATAAGTTGAATTATGAACATTGTAGGACAAAGGTACTGTGATATCTAGAATGTTCATGAATTTCTAGTGAAGATACACACTTCAAACTCTGAACTTGGTTACTCAGTAAAGTGACCACCTGGGGGCATTAAATATACGATGGCCTACTACAGTTACAGCGCTAATTGTGGCGAAAAAAAGTATGTGCCATTATTCTTAGCGTAATAATTGATTAAAGTTCGGCAACATTTGAGTAAATACATTTACTTTGAAACCAGCATCAGCTCATAGCAGTTCCTTCCGATATCCACCTTCATCACTGATCACGGTAGTACTTAGTATTTAAGGATTGGCCGAGAAATGCCGCTGCATTCAATCTATTACTCTATGATGCTTACAACTAACTATTAAGGTTGAATTATAACTTCATTTGAGCACATAATTGCCATTATCGAGTGTTTCTTAGCTTATGAGACTCCCAATATCACTGAAAATTATTGCTAAAGTGGAGAATTGGGAACTAGCTAAAGAGCCAAAGTATTCATCTTTCTTTTTCTTCTCCCACACTAACCAAAGAATAAGCGAAGTTTTTGCAATGGCTTTGGCACGACAGAGAAGCATATTAAGAGCACATAGAAACAGGCCATCACTAAGCGCGGTAGTGCTTAGTATGTAGGGATAGGCCGAGAAGACAGTGGCCGCCGCATTCAATCTGTTATGCCATGATACTTACGAATAACTGCTAACGTTGAGTTACAGCCTTATTTGAAGTGTTTCACAGCTTGTATAACAGTAATATTATTCTGTTATTCTACTACACGTATTTTGTGGAGAAATAATAAAATGTAAAACTACTACAGTGAGTTCAGTTTATAGGCATATATTATTTCCACTAGCGTATAGCTGTAAAAAATGACGGGGCAAGTACTACCACCCCCACCCCATAGTATACCCTAAC